ATGTGAGGTCCCTCTGAGAATGGGAGGGAGAAGATGGGGAGGTTTCTGCACCATCATGGATTCCATCCCCCAAACACCAACCCCTAGAATTCAAGGTCAAAGACGCAGAACCACGCCCATATCCAGCTTGCCGAGTCAAGAGCGTCTGTGTCAACTCCCAGCACCGCAGCAGCCAGTGCTGGCTCAGAGGAAGCTTTGAGGCAGGGCCACAGCCACCTCACCAAGGATAATTTCCCTCATGAAGTCTTTGCCAAGCGGCAGATGTGCAATGATCTTTGTCTCCTCAACACAGGCTGTGCATCCTGTCGGCCTCACCCATTCTCACCCACCTCCTGTTCATTCCATCCTCCTCTTTTAGCAAAGATTTTTTTCCCTTTATAGTTAATTATGCAAGTGATACATGAATACATTCTGGGTCTAAATGTGTCAAACAAAACAAAAAAAGTGAAAGTCATAGGAAACATACCCCCCACTCCCCACCCCATACTCTAGACTTTGTCTTTCGTGTGTAAATACAGATATGAGTACATAATGGGTGACTTGATTCTGTCTCCCTTGTATGTACATATGTACATGGCATCTATTATTTCTCAACTTGCTTTTCCTATCTGACCATGTGGCATTCCATGTGGGTACATTGAGGATCTTTTCGTCTTTTTAACTGCTGTTGAGTATTCACAGTTTAAAAATGAAAATATTTCCTAGGGGCATTTAGGTGGCTTTTAATTTTTTTTTTTTTTTTTTCTATTCCAAGCAGCCACACTGGATCCTTGCTGACTCCTCTGTGAGCATGAGTATGTGTGGATCGGAGGATCAGGACTTGATGGGGGGATTTCTGTGCCACTGGCTGCATCCCCAGGAAGGATGAGGCACCCTCCACAGACCTTCTCAAGCCTTGGCATCCAGAGCCCGGTGCTAGCCACTCTCCCATACTGTCTTGTGTTGGTAGGCAGCTGCTCCCTGAGAGAATACTGTTTCCCACCTCAACTGTGAGCTCCCAAAGGGCTCCAGCAGGGATGTCTCTGGGGACACCTCAATACATCATAGGAGAGTGAGTTTGGCAGATTAGTGGCTGCTGGGGCAAGGCTGGCACCTCCACCTCCCCCTGTTTCAGCTGGACAGCCTCACAGCCCACATTCCCTTCCTCAACCCCTGTGAGATGTGGAAACAAGCCACAAGAAGCAAGGCCAGCTGTTCTAGCTGGGGGTTCTGCATGTGCCACCCCCGTTCCCTCCCCAGGAGAGAGCAGTGAGTGTCCAATGGCTGAGGCTTGGGCACCCTTTCTTCCCCACCCCCTGAGCCCCACCTCAGCCTCCACCCCAGGCCTGTCCACAGCATCCTGTGATGGTAAACTCTCTTCCTGCAGCCCCTCACCACAGTCACCATTCCCCCAGGGCTCTGCCTTCAGCCAGGAGCAGACTGGTCCCTTCCTTCGAACCCCAGAGTCAGCGGTAATAACTGCTTATCCGCATTTGCCTTTCTCAAAGAGCCTTAAGAGCGGACTAATCTGCCATGCTGACGTGTCAGCGGCTACATCAGAAGGGCTGGAGATGGACTGGGAAGAGCCTGGGGTGGGACTGCCCCAGTCAGCCTCCAAGTCCAGCTGCTCCCGCCTCACAGAGGTGCAGAGGGAGAGAAGGAAAGGGCTTTGGCACCTCTCTAGCCCCTGCTTCCCCACAGTGAACTGCTATTGACATTGCAGCCTGCACTTAGTGGAGTCTGCAGAGGCTGTTCATACTCACTGGCAAGTAGGTCTCCCCACAAGCTTCTGAGGGCCACTCCTGTTCCCATTTTACACATGAGGAAACATGGGTGGGCTCTGGCTGGGAAGGGGCTCTCCTGGGCTCCTCTCCCTGCTTCCTTCTTTCATCTCCTTTTGCAATTATCTTCCCTTTCCACCTCCTCTCTGAAGCCAGAAAGGGAAGGGAGGCAGGAGGAATTTCCACACTGGAAGGGGAGGAAAGGGGTTTTCACTGGGTGCAGTGGTTTATCAGCCTTTTCTGGGATCCGCTTTGGGGTGAAGGGGGAATCGTGGTGAGAGTGTACACTGTCAGATTCAACAGCCTCCTGGGAGCTCTGGAGGCAAAAACCCTCCCATCAAGGACCTGATCAACCCTCCGGCAACCTCAGGTCCTATCACCACTATGGAAGTCCAGCGTGCCTCAGTGTCCACAGATCTTGGACAGCTCTCAGTAGCCTCTGAGCACCATTTCTGTGCCTGCTGCCCCCACCAAATTAGCTGAGGTGTTCTGGCATTCAGTGCTTTCAAAGAATACATATTAGACTCCAGCCATATGCTGGGCACTGGGCACCAAGCAGAAACAGAACCAAACCAGGCTCCTGACCTCATCGGAGCATGGGGAGCCTGCCCATCAATGAACAAATATACGTGACTCTGTCAGGGAGTGATGGGTGGCAAACAGGAAACACGAGGGGTTAGGGTCTACGTGGGAGCAATGGGGTGATCAAGGGAGGTGTCTCTGATGAGGTCTCATTTGAGCAGACACCTGAGGGAAGGGAAAGAGCACACCATGCTGATAGCAGGGGTGGGGTAGGGGCCGTTTTGGACAGAGGAAAAACCAATGCAAAGACCCTAAGGCAGAGTATGCCTCATGGGCTGAGAAGTAGTGAGGGGGCCAGTGAGGGGGACCAGGGGAAGACTGTAAGGAGATAAATTCAGGGGGTGGATATGGCAGCAGGGAGGTCACCCAAGGTCTGGGGGAACCTGAAAGATTCTGATTCACAATAAAGTTGTGAGCTCTCTCAGAAACTGTTGCAGAAATCCCTGGAAGCTGGACAAAAGCAACAGATTCTTTTCCCTCTAGAATCCCTTCCTACTTCTATTGGGCCATGGAAACAATATGGTCATTTCCTCCTCCTACTCCTCCTCCTCTTCCTCCCTCCCCACATCCTCCTCCCTCTCCAAACTTGCCCCTGACCTTGTCCCAAGCTGGCTTGCCTGCGTGCAGCAGAGGCAGTGGCCGCCTCCTGGTTGCAGGCAGAGGACAAGGCCAACAAGGGGACGGGAGGAAAGACGCCCCCGGGAGAGGCAGGCGGCAGCACGAGGGACGACGTCACGGGGGCCTCTGACCGCTATTCATTTCAGTCCCCGGGTGTCTCCATCAATAACCGTCTGCCAGTGACCAGGAGGGAGGAGGACGGGAGAGGGAGGGAGGGAGGGTGATCTGGGGTCTGGGGCAGGGGAGGGATGAGACAGAGTGGGAGAGAGGCTCCTTGGAAGCTCCTCCAAGCCTGGGGCAGGAGTTGGAGGTAGGGAAGGCTGAGGGGGCACTAGGAGCTGAGAGTTTCTGTCTCCCAGGCTTTTCTCCCTGCTTCCTTCTTTCATCTCTGATCCTTTCACAAATACATTCCCTTACCACCTCCTCTCTGAAGCCAGAAAGGGAAGGGAGGCAGGAGGAATTTCTACATTGGAAGGGGAGGAAAGCGGTTTTCACTGGGTGCAGGATGGATGGTGGAGGAGTCAGAGCTGCAGAGGACACCGGGAGCATTCTGTGCCTGGCAACAAGAGGCTGGAGCAAGCCTGGTGACCAGAGCTGGCGTAGGTACCAGACTGGCACCAGTAGCCTGTGGGCCTCATGAGAGGAGGGCCTGGGCCACGAGGTCTGGCACAGAGCCTGGCACAGAGCGAGCACTCAGGAAATAAATGGCCATGGCAATGACCAAATGGCTGGCTGTGGAGATTGGCCGGGGGTGGACTAGACCAGCCAAGGAGGGCTGCCTGGAGGAGGTAGAGCTTGATCAGATTCTTGAAAGATCAGTGGGTTTGGGAGAAGTGAACATGGGGAGAAGAGGCATAGCAGCTGAGGAGGCGGTGAGAGCAGAGGAATGGGGGGCAGAGGGGAGCACAGGTTGTTGGGGATGTGGTCTTGGGTAAGGTTTTGGGAGAGAGAAGAACAAGAGAGGTGGCCACTCCACAGGGTGCCTTCTCTGGGGCCATGGGTGGCTTGAAAAGCTCTGAGGTCACTGTTCCCCGGGACATTCAAGGCTGCTTTCGCCATATTGAGCACTCGTTTGGGCTTTCCCCATGGTTTTGAGCCTTGCAAGCCCCCCAGTCCACCTTCAACCACATCTGCAGGCAGAGGAAGAAGGCCTGACACAGGGCGTACTGGGCAGCTTGAGGGAACTCCCAGAAAGACTCCCCCATCCCCACTCTCTCGGACTTGTCAGCACACCTAAAGGACAGCACTGAAAAGTCACCCCTTGCGTATATTGCTCTGTCAAATCCAGATTCCCTGGCCAGTGGGTGGGGTGTGGCCCATTTAGAATCACTGCTAGACTGGGCCTTCTCAGTTCACAGGTGGGGAGACTGAGGCCAGAAAGAGGATGTGATTTGTTAGGGTCACCCAGGGAATTAAAGGCCGAGCAAGAGTGGCCTAGTGCTGTGCCTCGGTGGCCTCGGGGGTGTGAAGACCACCTGTCACTGCAAATCAGACAACAGGGATGGGACGTTGGGGACACAGTGGGTGCCTTATTAGGTGCTGAAGTCCTCCCTACAGACTGAGCCTTTATTTGGAAGGTCTAGAGGAGCCCTCTACCATTCCTGATGGAATAACGCCCAGCACTCCTACTGGCCAGAATGAGAGTCCATGGTCAAGTGTGGCCAGAGGTTCTGGGGGTGAGGGGTGGAAGCTGCCCCTTCTAGGAAGCGTAGGGGGGAAACAGGGCAGAGAGGTCTGAGGCACCAGGGCACGGGGTAAAGAGAGACCCGTGGGGAGAGGGGGGTGTGGTGGGGGAAGATGCAGGGTGGGGAGACTCCGCGGAGGGAGCAAGATAGAAAAGCAAAGGGAGGGAAGAGAGGCAGACAGCCGGGAACGCCGAGAGGCAGAGAAGCTCCGAGAAGAGTGCACGGGAGAGAAAGAGAGGTGGGGAGAGGGACTGAGCGCAGGGAGGGGCGGGAGCCTGGAGGGCGGGCGGCAGGGCGCGTCGGCGGGCCCAGGGGCGCCCCACTGACCCTTCTCGGCGCTTGCTTCCCTCCCCAGGCTGCGCCTTCCTCACCTACTGCGAGCGTGAGTCAGCGCTGAAGGCCCAGAGCGCGCTGCACGAGCAGAAGACTCTGCCCGGGGTAAGTGGCGCCCGCCGCGGCGCGAGCGGCCGATGCGCCGACAGGGGGCGACTTCGGGAGGCCGGGCGGCGGCGCGGCGCGCGGGGAGAGGGCGGCAGGGCGCTGGTGAGCCCGCACGCCCCGCTCCGCGCCCCCCGAACCGCCGGGCTCTCGGCCGTCCAGGCCCGACGGGATCCGGGGCGGGGGCCCCGCTTGGCCGTGGCCGTGAAGGTGGAGCCCCGCCGCTGTTCCTGCGCGGGCAGCCTGGGGCGGGGGGAGCGGCGCGTCCCGGGTCCCGGGAGCGGGGAGCTGCCTGCGCCGGGCCCGCGGGCCGCGTGCGCGATCGAGTCCGCCCATCGAGTCGACGCGAGCCGCTCTGGGGGGGCCGGCGTGGGAGGGGGCGCCGCGAGTGAGATCACTGCGGTTTATTTAAGGAGCCAGCCCTCGTCTTTGATAAACTATCGCGCCTCGGCCCTGGTTTATAGCTTCTGTGCGGGGGAGAAGAGAATTATTTATGGACCCCCTAACTGGGTGTGATATCAGCCATGGCTATTATCGAGGCTAGTTCATCACCATAAAATAAGAAGTGTTCTTTGGGTCAAGGGTCTGCGCGGTCTCTCCTGTGGGTTCAGAGAGATGGGGCGGTGGTGAGGGAGGAGAGATATACGGCTGCTGAGTATCTAAAGATAAATGGAAAGATGTGTGTTTGTGGGCATAATTTAAAGAATTTCTAAATATACAGTGTTGACGCTTATACAATGGACCCTGCAGGGAAGCACGTGTGTTCTATAAGTATGCACACCCATGCTTACACATGCATGTTTACATTCTTACCAAACCAACCGTATGTAAACACACGTTTTCATTTCTGCCCCACAGCGGGAAAGGTTAACCAGGTAGACGGAGAGAAAATGCAACCCCGGGCGGGGGCAGCCTTCCTTTGCATCAAAGATCTTTCTTTACTCGTTTAGGGCTGGGGAGTGCTGAATTACACAGGGCCTTGCTTCCATTAAGACAGCCTCTGTATTGTATTTTGGTATTTGTGATTGCAAAGCACGGGGCTGAGTCATCTTAATAACATACCCACAGATGCAAATATATGGAAATCGAACATCGCACAGATTTTGTGTGAAGCCCAGCTCTGGCAGGGTGGCCATTCCCCAGTTGTTTTTTCAGTGGCGCGCCTACATGCACATATATTATAGTAATTACTTTCTGGGTGCCCTCTGAAAGATGGCAGAAATATGCTCCACATCGCCCCATGTTATGTGTGAAGCATAAAGCCATATTGTAAGATAATCAAAGGCTTCTGAGAAAGGTTTGTGCTGATTAATAAAGTGTTTATGGTACTTTGTTTTGGGGGAGATTGTGATAGATATTTTAGAGTCACCCAAATGGAATAGAAAATACCACATTGTTATGGGAGGCCCTTCATCAGCTTGAGAGAGATTGCTGGGGAGTTTCATGATGGCTAAAAGCCGGAATCAGATGGAGAAACAGAAAGAGAGAAGGTGGGTGGGAGAGGTTTAGGATTTTGAAAGGGGAGAGGCTGGGAACTGAGAGTATTTCAGTAGTAGCAAGTGTGGATTGTTGAGGATCTAACATTAACTTGTGGTTGTTTATTTTACATTTAATAGAATATCTGAATGATGGAGTGTATTAGTTCTTTAATAATTTATAGAAATACTTTGATGTTGCAGTAATTACATTAAAGGTCACATATCAAAGGTAATTTGGTTGAGCAGCTGTGATGGTTTCTCAGAAGCAATCAATATCACTGTCCGTGGTGCTGATTTCACCAAGGGGCCTGCCAGATTAAAGAAGGCTTATTACCAGGCAGAAAGGCTCAGGGGAAATCAGGAGCACATTGGAGCGACGCGCCAGCCCCCCTTCCACCGATAATTAACACTGTTCCCCATAATCTGTGCTAATCCTTCATACTGGGAGATTCAGTGGCGTTTTTCTGAAATCAGAAAGACAAGTTGGATAAGTTTGAGGGAAAGGGCAAAAAGAAACGTGAATGTATGTTGGGACGGGGAGCGGGGAAGATAGAGGCCAACAGTAGAGCTGAAACATCGCCTAGAGTCCCCTCGAACACCTTCCCTTCTTCAAAGGCTTCACAGGGAGACTCATGGCCTCAAAAACCTCATCAAACAATTCTCCGGGCAGGCCCAGCCCACTGGAGGGAGGGGCAGGAAAAAAAGACCTAATTGCAGCTCAAAGTTCCGAGAGCACACTGTCTTCACACAAACCTACATGCAGATGAATGAAACACAAAATGACCAAGTAAAATTATTCTTTAAAGTAGAGTCATTTTGATTCCAGAAAGCAGACCTGGTGTTATCATTGTCGATTGGTTCTCTCTTCTAAGATCAGAGAAAGTGTGCCACTAGCAAATGCAGGAATGGGACCAAGCCAAATGCTCTCACCAATCAAATAATAGGTGCCCCTGCCGGCTGAGGCTGTGTTCATGGCTGCCTGTTTGGGTGGGAGGGGGACCTCTTCTTGTCTGGGCTGACCACAGTGGGTGCCCCAGCAAGCACACTCTATGTCTAACTAAGGAGAATGAAATTGAAAAAAAAGAACCTGGAAAACTGGTAACCTCGGCAATTTAGGTACTTTTCCAGACTTCAAAATCCATTAAAATCAATCCATTTAAATCATCCCTCTACTTTCTCGCTGAGGAAAGAAAGAGGGGAAAAGATAGTACAGGCAGCCTATGCTGTTTCTAGCAAGTTACGGAGCTCACATGGTGCTGCCAGCAAGAAAAATAATCCCATCGCTGTCATACACACATTCCACCACCACCACCATGAGCGACAATAACAAAATGACAGAAGCAGAACTAGAGGCACCCTTAGCACATGTCTTCACAGGGGGCCTGAAAAGGGGACTGACCTTTCTCTTGGGATCAGTGGAAGCTCAGAAACCACACCACAGTGGTTGTTCTTACACATCAGTGGTAAGTGATTCCCAGTATCCCTAGGAACCAGCCTAAGCAGAGCTCTCTGATGGCTGATGGAGTCATCCCTGGACCAGTGTCACAAATGGATTATTATTTTTGAGTTTGGCATGTTTTCAGTAGAATTAGATTAGTAAACTATGAAGCTTCATCTGGATCCTTTTGAGCACTGCCTTCTGCCAGAATCCAGGCAGAGTGACTCCCTTCTTCTAAACTCTCTGCCTCTCTCTCCTGCATACTCTTGATCTTACTCTTTCCTGTTCTTCTCCTGCCCGTGCCCCTCTATTCACAAAATTTGTTTCACTATTCACAGGAGACAGTCAACACGGGGCAGTTTCTCAATTCACCAGCAAGTATTTCCTGTGTGCCAGGTGTTCTGTAAGATACAGAGATAAGAAAAACACATCCACCTCCCTGCTTGGAGTTGTCCACCAAGTTGGGGATAGAAGTCATGCACACAAAAATATCTATGTAGTCAACAATATAAGACAGCACATGCTATTATAAAATGGGTAGTGTGGACAGTTGTTGAATCATCACAATATTTTTAAGCACTTTATCTACCTTGCCTCATTTTATCTTCACAACCACCCTATGAGGAAGATGTCATGATTATCCCCCCACAGAGGAGGAGATTGAAGTTTGCTCAAGGTCGCAAAGTTGGTAAGTGGCCAAGCCAGGACCAACACTGAGTCTGCTACCAAAGCTCAAGATACCTACCTTTGCCAGCACCACCAGTTGCTTTAGGAATTTAGAGAGGACCAGGATGACCATGGAGTGCAGGAGTGACTCAAAGTTTTTGTTCAGGACACGGGCAGAGTGGGAATAGAGTTGGGAGTAAAATGGGTCAGATGGGAGCACTGGGCTAAGAAATGGCCCAGAGTTGAGGCACACATGGCAGGCCAGGAGCTGGGTGACACAGGGCAGCTGGGTGACACAGGGCACCCCACTCTGAGAACCACCTGGGCCTGTGTGTGCACAGGAGGCCTCTTGGAAGAAGTCCGTTTCTTAAAATCAAACCCTGATACTTTGTCACAGCTCCTCCAGCTGTTGGGACTTTGTGGGGAATTGTCTTCCAGGAAGAGCTCATCTGTTTCCAATGTTGGGAATACAGGGTCTCAGGGGAGATGCTCAGATAAGAGAAGACCAGGTGCTATGATGAGTGGTGGCCAGCACTTTGCTCTTCTCGTAGCAGAAAGGGCTTCTCACCGGGGCTGGCAGGGAAAGAGCTGAGTCCATCAGTAGGAGGCCAGGAAGCAGTGGGAATTAGAGCTGGCCGAGGATGGGGGTGGGGGGAGTGGGAGCTGTATCTGCTTGGTAAACATTAAAGTTCCAACTCACTAGTTAAAGATTGGCTTTTGTGTCCTCACTCCAACAACCCTAGAATACAAAGCAAACTAATACACTCCTCCCTGCTGTCTCCCCATTCCCTCCCCTCATGTCAGCCTGGCAGACACACGGAGTCCCGCCATCGCACCTCCTGACGCAGGTCACCACGACTCAGGATGGGTCACTTCCATGGAAATTCAATGTGACCTTCTTCGAGTTTACCAGGAAAGATGTTGAAGTGGAAAAATTCTTTTTAAAAGAGTTCAGTTGGATTTCTAGCACCACTCTCTCACTGTGTCTCCTTTCTATCCCTTCCTCTCGTTCTTCTCTTTCTTAATCCCATTTTTCCTCCTTTTTTCTCTTTTTCTTTTCCTCTCTTTCTTTGTGCCCGTTTTCTCCTCTCTTCTCTCCCTCTGCACAGTTTCCCCTAGTTTTTCTCACCAACACTTTCTTCTTTTATCCTTCTCACTTGTCTCTCCTTTCTCTCTCCTCTCCTCTTCCTTCCCTCCTACCCTCCCTCTTTTGACTTTGGCCCACCCCACCTCTACCCTGACACCCATAGCAAGCTCTGTTGGGGCCTCCATCACCATACGGGGGCTTCCCTGGTAAGACTCATCTCCCTCCCTGACAGTTCTGCCATTGAAGGATCCGTCTAATTTTATGTACAACTGTAAAGATGAATGATAAGTAGAAAGGATGCAGGCAAGAACAAGATGAATAAATTATAAAG